CATTATGATCCCTGATATATGTGGACTTATACATCTATATTATTGCTAACCATTATTTTTGTGTGTTTCTGTGTCTCTTTCCTACTTTCTGAATGATTGAGATAGAATTCTATATTCTACCTTTTTCTCCACTGTATTCTACCTTTTTCTAGGCCATCCAAAAGATAAATGGAGAAAAGCAAAATATATCTTCCTGCAGAATGCTAGCCCATTTGTGTGAAGCTTTCCTAAAGTTTCCCTCATCCCACAAAAATTGTTTGTTCTCATCTTACTCAACAAATCTTAAGCTGGTGGTACTGCCAACAATTAGGGAAACTGGAGGTAAAATATCTATAATTTCTTTAACCATGCCTTAATCTCAACAGATAACAAGGATCTTAGCATGAATTCCCGCAAATTCAACATCCCATCTCCATCATTTAGCTATTGTTACTAAATTTCTTCTCATTATAAATTTTGAAACATTGTCATTTACTTAAATTTGTCATCATTTAATGCACGTCATTTTATGTTTCTTTTTTGGTTTCAACATTGGTCTAGCAGACTATAGCTGAATAAATCCTTGGTTCTTTTAGTCAGAGTGTCTAAGTGTTATATGTGCAAATTTGCCTTTATTTTGAAAGAATTTTTTATTGATTTTTCTATAGAGAGAGGAAGATAGATGATAGATAGATAGATAGAAATCTATGTGGAAGAGAAATATCAATCAGTTGCCTCTTGTATGGGCTCCAACTGACCGGGGAGCAAACCAACAACCTAGTAATGTACCCTGCTCAGGAATCAAACACACAGCCTTTCTGTGCAAGGGACGGCACTCCAACCAACTGAGCCACACCATACAGAAATAATTTTTTTGCCAAGATTAAAAAATTCTAGGTCAATGTTTATTTCTCTTCAGTATACTATTATGATTACTGCATTGTCTTCTAGAATCTATTGTGTGGCTGATGAATATTCTCCTTGTATTTTAACTGTCACTTTTTGGTTAATAAGCTATTTTTCTTGCCAAAGTATCTTTTTACAACTTTTGAATTATGAAAACTTTAAGGCTACTGAAAAACTTGAACAATTTTACAGTAAACATAGACTCACAATTAGCATGTATTGTGCTTACTTTATCTCATTTTTGTCCATCTATCCATTTCTCGATTCATCCACTAACCGTCCTCAACTTTGAAACATTTTAAAGTTGCAGACAATAATACACTTCCCCCAAAACACTTTAGCATGCATATCATTAACTAGATTCAATATTTGTTTGTATTTCTTTTTCTTTTAGATAAAATTTACAATGAGATGTACAAATACTAGATATTTCATTCTATGGATTCTTATTAAAGGGTTCTCCTGTAAAATCCTAATTGTTATCAAGAGACAAAATATGACCATCACCCTAGAACTTAAACAGCTCTCCTCTGAGGAGGACACTTTACTATCCTGGGATAATTAAGAGGGAGATGCTCTCTATTTTATACTGGTCAGAAAACAAATTTGCCCTCTGACTTGGGGAGCTACAATAACTCTAGCTTCTAAAACTCTTTGCTATTCACACATCTTTGAAAAGATATTCTGGGGCATGTGGAATTGCATGGAGAATTGGGTCCCAACAAATTCACCTCACAAAGCACATTCTGGCTATTTCCCTGTGAGGACACCACTCCACCAGCCAAGATTAACCTGACCCCTGGAGTCTAGTAGTATATTCATTCAAATTGTTTCCTTCAGAATTTAACAAATTTCCTAAACCATAATTTCTTAGGTCTCCTATGACCACCGCTATGGTGCAAGTCACCATGGTTGCATGAGGGAGGCAAGTGAATGCCTGGCTTTCACACAGGAAATGCAATCCCAATGGCACACATGGTGATCCTGAAACAGAAGCATTTATACTTGTTCAGGTTCCTGAGGGGAATATATCAGCCATGGGTAGGGTTGGTCCCTGATCACCTGTAGCCTTAAAATTTTCAGCTCTGTTCATTGTTGATGGGTTTTGGAAAGAGATGGGGGCAATACAGTCTATCCAATCTGTTCTATTTCTTCATGATGTCTCCCGCAACCCTTCATCCAATGACTGAGAATCAGTGAGGGGACCATGTCCAGAAATGTTCTGCCTGGGAGATGCTAATGCTGGCAGCAGCCCCTGATTCCTCACATCTGATGCTGAATTGCAGAATCAGCATCTACATATGTGGTGGGAGAATAAGACAAGAGTGATTTCTTTCAGGACAGTCTTGAAAGACAAATATGGTTAGTGCTCTTCCACCTCCCATACCTCCTAGGTATTGCATCCTCAGGTGCCTGGATCTTTTGCTCTTCTTTTACTACAAAAAATATTGTTGGGGTGGGGGAGAGGAGGAGAGATAAAATATATTGTGTACCATTCCATTGACTGTAACTTCATCTCTTCATCTTTCATTCCAATAATCTCATATTGTCACTCACATTTTTCATCCGGAAGGATCAGATACAAGCAGGGAAACAGCATTTCCAAAAAAATATAACCAAAATTATATCTGAAATCTCTAGACACTCTGAAGAGTGGGGAAGAACAATGCATCCTCACCAGCAATGGTCAGAACAGAATCCAGATTTTCATAATTGATCTATATAATGCTATTAATTCCCCACCACTTTTGTCCTTATCACAATGCAGGAAGGAGCTGATCCCTTTCTACCTAGATTGGGGAAAGCTGCCTTCAGTGACAAAATAGTCATAATAGAAAAGTGTGTGCACAGGAAGAGACAAGGTCATAGAGTTAGATGATGAGAGAATTGCGTGTAGCCTTTTATAAAGGGCACACCATTGTCAGACTGTAATGGTCCAGCAAGTCATGCAATTTGCAGATTGTTCTTGAGCTTCCTCAGCTCCTCTTTCAGCTTTGGAGAAAGTTGATGTGAGGGACAAATGAGGCAAAGTAGAGAACGTGAACAGCAGGTAGACACTATCTTCAGGGTTAACTCATTACTATCCTCTCCCTGAGTCAGAACTCAAACGGGGAGATACAATATAGTCTCTGATTCTGTCTCCAGCTACCTAACTGCACTGGAAGAGCATAGATGGAGACCTTCCTTCAGAACGGGACAGCAGCTGTAGGTTTCATTGTCATGAAAGAATCAGGGGAAGGGATGACTGCATTGAGAGTTACTACAGTTTTATAGAAGCCTGGTAGCACTCTGCTAAGGCATTCTGATCCTGTGAGATTTGAGAGTTGTGCACCAAAAATGCCACTGACAGAAAGACTTTGAAACTCTGGAGATTTCTGGGATAAAGTTTCCTAAGTACCCCTATGTCTCTATAGAAACAATCTCAACATGGGAGGAAGTTGTATTTGTGCAGTTGTAAAATGAGACACCATGAAGAATCTTCTTTCTCAGGGGGAAAAATGCACACAGATGTGGAAGTGGATTATACGGCTGAAATCCTTCCTGTGACCTGTGGGGAGATGGTGGGCATGTTAATTAAGAGAAAATTGAAACGAGGTAAGTTTCAAGGTCTACTTTCACTTATAAGCCCTCCATGAAGGAATCACGAGAAGTAATGGAATTACCCATGTAAATTACCCATTGTTTAAGGAATTGGGGCCCCAATTTTGTCTTGAGAAGAGGTAGGGATCTCTAAGATGATGTTTTTACACTTTAAGAAATGGTGCATATTAAGTGCTCACTTCCACATGGATGCCCAAGGAACCAAAGAGAAGTGCAGAAACGTCAGTCTGTGGGTGGAAAATATTGCATACTTTATTTTGAATCAGCCTCCACCTTCATATCCTATACCCCTTCTGGAAACCATCAACAAGACAGGGTGTTTGTTGTAGTGAGGAGTTCACAAAATTTAGAATCAGAAAACCTGAGTCCCAGCCTCAGCTCTACCAAGAGTGACTTAGTAAAGATTGGGACTTTTCTGAGCGTGAAACTTCTCATCTAATAAATGGATAATAATTAAAAACCTGCCTCCTGGTGTGACTTTGAGACAATGTACATAATGACTGTAAATGTTTTCTGATTTGAACATTATAAAGCTTTCAAATAGTTGTCTATTATGATGAACTCCATATCAGATTAGTCTTAATGTGGGTATGTGAATAAATAATATGTTTGCATCAAAACTATTTTTAAACAGCTTTACTGAGATATAACTCACATATATACTACTAATTCACCATTTTAAGTGTAGAATTCACTGTTGAGCTTTTTGTTTCTGTTTTGTTTATTCACAAGATTATACAACCATCATTACAATCTAATTTTAGAACAGTTTTGTCCCCCACTAAAGGAAACACCATGTCTCTCAGGAGTCAATACCTACTCCCACCTCACCCCACCATGCAGCCCTATGCAACCACTCATCTATTTTATGATCTATATACTGGCCTATCCTATATATTTCATATCAATTGACTCATATAACATGTGCCTTTCTGTGACTGGTTTTCACTCAGCATGATGTTTTCCAGGTTCATATGTATATATCATGCATTATACTTTATTCTTTCTTATTGTCAAACTAGAGGCCCGGTGCACAAACTGTGCACGAGTGGGGTCCCTTGCCCTACCCCACAATCAGGGCCAATCATGGGCATGTCGCCCAGTCCCGATGGGGGCCTATGGGGGCTGGTGGGCTGGGGAGTGACCATGGGAAGTTGGCTGGCCGGCCAGGGAGGGACCACAGGAGGGCTCCAGGGAATGTCCAGCCCTCTCGCCCAGTCCCAATCAGCCAGACCCCAGCAGCAAGCTAATCTATCAGTCGGAGTGTCTGCCCCCTGGTGGTCAGTGTGCATCATAGGGAGCAATCTGTCAGACACTTAGCGTATTACGCTTTTATTATGTAGGATAATATAATAGTCCATGGTGTGGAGACACAGTAACGCATTTATCTATCAGTTTAGGTTTTCTCACCCTTTCACTATTATGAATAATGCTGTTTTGAATAAAGATTTTGGTGAACCTGGTTTTTTAATTCTTTTCACTAAATACTCTGGAGTGGAATTGCAGGGTTATATGGCAATTCTATGTTGAACTTATTGAGAAAAATCAAAACTATTTTCAGCAGTATGGCACCAGTTTATATTCCCACCAGTAAAATCTGAGTGCTCTCATTTCTCTGCATCCTCACCAACACTGCTTATTGTCTATCTTTTTCATTACAGCCATCCTAGAAGGTGTGACATAGTATCTAAATGAGGTTTTTATTTCCTTTTCTCTAATAAATAATGTTATTAAGTATATGACTATCTTTTATCTATATATAAGTAAAATTTTCCACTGAATAATATTTCATAATTACTTTAAAGTCAGTTATCCATGATTCCACATAAGAAAAATATCAGCCCAATAATGCCATTGAACTGGAAGGAAATCATTGTAATACAGGGCACAGATGTTGCCTTAGTGTCATTGAGAGCAGCAGGGCAGGGCCTCAATTTCAGATTTCACTCCAAAGTAGAAAATCTTCTTACATGGAATTTACAGGATGGGTTTGGGGATTCTCAAGTATAAAAGGTGAGGCCACACTCTTCTGCTAGTGATCTTGAACCCAAATTGGCTGCCTGTAGATCCAGTGTCTGAGCTCTGAGGACAAGGAGGTGTCAGGATCAACTTATCCCGGTCTTACAGGAGCCACGGTGAAGTGTATAAGGAGAGAGGATGGAAATTGGTACACCCCCAGGGAATTTGAAGTTGAAGGAGGCTATGAAAAATCAAGTAACTGGAAGAACAGTGTGTACTGCGGTGGGACAGCCCTAAAAAACCTGAAAGAGGTATTCCAGTGAGTTTCCTTGTTGTATTAGAAGAAAAGGTCACTATTTCCTCACCAAATATATGTTGAGTCATGGCTAGAGCCCTGAGGTCCCCTAACATTATCCTTTCCTGGAGGGAGGCACCCCACACTCATAAGTCAGGACAAGACAGCACATTGATGTTGTCAAAGGGGCTCGGTTGGGGCAGGAGCCTGGAGGAGGGAAAGGTCATTCTGACTGAGGTGCTTGCAGACAACTTTAGCCACTGAAAGAAAGGAGACAGTTTATGCCAAACAAGTGGTCAGAAGGCACTCTAGAGAAAGAATGGTGTGAAAACCAGAACCATGACTAACATGGATCCACAGGTTGAGGTAGATGGATTGTGTGTGATAAGGCATAATTCATCAATTGGGGGTCGGGGGGGATTGGATGATTTAATGCCAGGCTAAGGATTTTAAACTCATAGCATAGACAATGCAGAACCAGGGAAGTCTCCTAAGGTGTGAAATGACATATTTGAAACAGTATCTCAGATAGCATGGGGCCTGGAAATGACTTCACTGTCTTTCAGCCCAAGACACCTATAGTGAACCTACAATGTTCAGCTCCAATGTCACCCCTCTCTGAATATTCCCTGACTGACCTGCCTTGTCATCCCTTCTCTGGCCTCTCTGACCACACTATTAAGGCCCTTCTCACAGTTTTATACTTATCCTTTCATGCAAACCCTTGCTCTCCTAGATCCCTCTAGGGTTTATACATCTTTGTGTGCCCAACATTGTGCAGAGTATCTGACACCCAATAGCTGTGGGACATGTGTGTGTAAGTTGAGCAGCCCTGGTGTGAGTGGCACTGGTGAGAATGGAAAGGAAGTGAAAGCTGTCAAAAAGATTGTCAAGCCCTTGGCCTGCGGACTCAAGGGTCCCAGGTTCGATTCTGGTCAAGGGCATGTACCTTGGTTGTGGGCACATCCCCAGTAGGGGGCGTGCGGGAGGCAGCTGATCAGTGTTTCTCTCTCATTGATGTTTCTAACTCTCTATCCCTCTCCCTTCCTCTCTGTAAAAAATCAATAAAATATATTTTTTAAAAAAGATTGTCAAGGAAATGAAAACTTAAGTAAATAAGAACACAAAAGAAAAGGAAAAAATTCTAAAGATGATTTTCCAGCTACTATTAATGAATTCTAGAAGAACCACTGAGGAGAGGAAGATGGGTTCTCATTTAGACATCTTGGTTTGAGCTGACAGTGGAACATCCAAGTAGAAATATTTGGGAGGAGGTTGCAATGCCAGATCCACAAAACATAAGCACGGGCTAACGATACACTTGGATCTTTTACTCTTTCAGTATCTACCTGAACTTCCAGGAAAAGGTGGCGTGAAGAAAAAGGTGATTATTACTTTATACAAGTTCTTTTTCTTAATCTTTATTGTTGAAAGTATTACATCAATCTCGCCTGAGGCTATCCGGCAAATGGCTCTGCGCAGGGCTTGGGCGGGGCGGGCTCAACAGGGCGGGCGGAGGGAGCCGTTATGGTGCCCTCAGTCCTGTTCCCAGAGGCTCTGCTTCTCAGAACCCCCGGAACCGCTGCAAACCTCGGAGGGAAAGCTGCCTTCCAACTGATGCCAGACACTCCCGCTTCTCCCGTTTGGGTCCGAGTCCCCAGCGATTCGCCCGTATCTGGAGCTCAGAGTCTGAGACTCCCCCCTGACCGAAAACGACAACCGCGCTCTCAGCCACCAGCCCGCTTTGCGCGCGCACCTCCGCACCTGAGTTTTTTCCACACTGCGCCTCCTCTGAGCCTCGGTGTGCTGTTATTTTTCCTTCTAGTTGAAGAGTCTCTCCTCAGCCAGCCTTCCTGTGGTTCTGGGTGATGTCCGTTCCGTCTTTTAGTTGTATTTTTGAAGTGGTTGTTTGCGGCAGCAGTCTGCGGTGTTTACCTATGCCGCCATCTTGGTCTCCTCCCTACCTTTGAAATTTAAAACAATATATATGTCAGTGTACACACACACATACACACACACACACACACACACACACACACACACATACACACACACACGAGAGGTTAATGACAAGCACCCTTATGTTGAGGCCATGGACCAATATGTTGACTTCCTGTAGCAATCTTCATTAGGACCTCCTATAGTCAACTGCAAGTTCATTCCTCCAAAACAAACTTGTGATTTCTCAGACATCCTTTCTTGAGACCTAACATGAAATCAGTACTTGAGTTTTTCTGATCTCTGTTATTGGCAACAGAATTCTTTTGGATTATTCTTGTATCTAGTTGTGTCAAGCTCTATCGATCTGGCTTTGCAGACCCTCTATATAATCCTCAAACTCTCATTTCCAAGCCTACTCTCTTACTACAACACTTGTAGTCAAATATTTTGCCTTTAAAAATCAACAACAGAAACAAGTGCACAGCAACAATCACATTCTCTTGTACACAGTAAGGTTTTAATAAACATTATCATTTGCCTACCTACTTGAAATATGACTGCTTTTATTTTATTTATTTTTTATAAAAGTAAGTTAAAGGTTTGATTCTTTTCCTTTATTTACCAGTTGGTTCCTTAGGATTCTCTCAAGGAGCTTCTTTATTGTTTTATCATTATGAGCTCATAAACATTTAACAAATTGGATGAATTTTAGTCCATTGCATTTATTCTTCTTTGTGTGTGTTTTTTTTTTAAATCCTCACCTGAGGATATTTTTTCATTGATTTTTGTGAATTTTTTATTTATTGTTTAAAGTATTACATATGTCTCTTTTTTCCCCGATTGACCGTCCCACGACTCCCACCCCTGAGGGCAAGCCCCCACCGCCCCAGTGTCTATGTTCATTGGTTATGATAATATGCATTCATACAAGTCCTTTGGTTGATCTCTTAAACACCCCCCGCCCCCCGCTCTCCTGCCTTCTCTCTGAGGTTGGACAGTCTGTTCAGTGCTACATTGTCTCTGGATCTATTTTTCTTCATCAGTTTATGCTGATCGTTATATCCCACATATGAGTGAGATCATGTGATACTTATCTTTCTCTGACTGGCTTATTTCGCTTAGCATAACACTCTCCAGTTCCATCCATGCTGTTGCAAATGGTAAAAGTTCCTTCTTTTTATGGTAGCGTAGTATTACATTGTGTAGATGTAGCACAGTTTTTGAATCCACTCATTTGCTGATGGCACTTAGGCTGTTTCCAAATCTTAGCTATTGTGAATTGTGCTGCTATGAACATGGGGATGCATGTATTCTTTCTGATGAGTGTTTCAGGTTTCTTAGGATATATTCCTAGAAGTGGGATCACTGGGTCAAATGGGAGTTCCATTTTTAATTTTTTGAGGAGACTCCATACTGTTTTTATTTATTGTTTAAAGTATTACATATGTCTCTTTTTTCCCCGATTGACCGTCCCACGACTCCCACCCCTGAGGGCAAGCCCCCACCGCCCCAGTGTCTATGTTCATTGGTTATGATAATATGCATTCATACAAGTCCTTTGGTTGATCTCTTAAACACCCCCTGCCCCCCGCTCTCCTGCCTTCTCTCTGAGGTTGGACAGTCTGTTCAGTGCTACATTGTCTCTGGATCTATTTTTCTTCATCAGTTTATGCTGATCGTTATATCCCACATATGAGTGAGATCATGTGATACTTATCTTTCTCTGACTGGCTTATTTCGCTTAGCATAACACTCTCCAGTTCCATCCATGCTGTTGCAAATGGTAAAAGTTCCTTCTTTTTATGGTAGCGTAGTATTACATTGTGTAGATGTAGCACAGTTTTTGAATCCACTCATTTGCTGATGGCACTTAGGCTGTTTCCAAATCTTAGCTATTGTGAATTGTGCTGCTATGAACATGGGGATGCATGTATTCTTTCTGATGAGTGTTTCAGGTTTCTTAGGATATATTCCTAGAAGTGGGATCACTGGGTCAAGTGGGAGTTCCATTTTTAATTTTTTGAGGAGACTCCATACTGTTTTCCATAATGGCTGCACAGTCTGCTTTCCCACCAGCAGTGTACTACGATTCCCTTTTCTCCACAACCTCTCTAATACTTGTCATTTGTTGATTTATTCATGATAGCTATTCTGACAGGTGTGAGGTGATATCTCATTATCATTTTGATTTGCATTTCTTGGATGATTAGTGACTTTGAGCATTTTTTCATATGTCTCTTGGCTTTCTATATGTTCACTTTGGAGAAGTGTCTATTTAGGTCATTTGACATTTTTAATTGGATTGTTTGACTTCCTTTTGTTAAGTTGTATGAGTTCTCTATATATTTCAGAGATTAACCCCTTATTGGATGTATCATTTGCAAATGCGTTCTCCCATGTAGTGGGCTCTCTTGTTATTTTGTTGATGGTTTCTTTTGCAGTACAGAAGCTTTTTGTTTTAATGTAGATCAATGGAATAAAACAGAAATCAACCCAAGCCACTATGCTCAGTAATATTTGACAAAGGAGGCAAGAGCATACAATGGAGTAGAAACAGTTTCTTCAATAAATGGTGCTGGGAAAATTGGACAGGTACATGCAAAAAATGAAACTAGACCACCAACTTACACCATACACAAATATAAACTCAAAATGGATAAAAGACTTAAATGTAAGACATGAAACCATAAAAGTCATAGAAGAAATGATAGGCACCAAAACTTCAGACATCTCTCGTAGCAATATGTTTACCCATACATCTCCTAAGACAATGAAAACTAAAAAGAAAATATACACGTTCTTATTACATAACTAATTTTATATGGTGTAGCATCTTTTTTATGGTTTCTCAGTTTTGTAATTAACATTGTTGCCTCTTCTCCTAGCTCCTCCCTTCATTTTATTTAATTAATTTATTTATTTTGTATGTGCCTTCAGATTTGTTCCATTGAATATTAGGTTTAATGCAAGGTCATCTTTGAATGGTAAACCATTTGAAATGAGGATAATAAAGAGTCATCAAAATAGATCTCATAGCTGAGTTTTAGTTATAGATACAGATATTGTCAGGGTGTCCAAGTTGTAAAAGCAGACATAATTATGGAATACATAAAATATTTCTTAATAAGGTAACAGGCTCATCTTAAATTCAGACCAGATTTTTTTTATAAAGGTTACTATTTTCTAACTTTAGTAAAATCTGATGAAGCAAAATTTGATCACCAACATCCAGATGAACCAGGTTTAGTACTGAGTCTATCTTGGGACATATATGAAACCATACACTATTTCATGAGATAGGCAACTAAAACCATATTTCTTTTCTGTTTTTGTTTTACAGCATCTTCCATCCTTCCATAAAATAGACATACAGTATTCTCTCTCAGGCAAAAATTATTGGGAAATATTTCCTAAGGATGGTGCTGTTAGGAGGGAGCTTTTGTGAGATTGATATGTCTTACATGAGGTGCTGACCTGGAAAATTCCTTACTTTGATGCCAACCCTTTGGCTCCACCTCAGGGCTCTGCAGACCTCCTGACTATCTATGAAAGTGATTTCTCCCTCTATGGAAGAAGACCATGGAGGAAACAAACAAAATACATAATGTGAGGTGTAACTTCAGGACAAAGTGATAGTTTTTTCAAAATTGAGTATGAATGAGAACTTAAGAAGAAGGGGGAGGTGAAAAGTGCCATTCTCATATACTCCAGGTAGAAATGACCATGCAATACTTTCAAAGAATGTACATTAGGTTACATGTGGCTGTCTAGGCCTTTAGATTATCTGATATTCTAGGACTTTTGACCCACCAGTCCTTGGCACATTATACCCATTGGGTTTACTGAAGATAACTTATTCTTTTATTTATTCAGTGACTACTTTAAATAGTAGTGTCTCTATCATTCTCTGTGTGTCTAGAGTTACTCAATCTGGAGTACCTAAAAGAGCTGGCAACTTCCAACCCACAGGTTCTATCCTTATTCATGGGTACAACACTTTGCAGCAACAAGGTTCAGTTGCCCTTATATTTTGTGTCTCCTTGATGAAGAATCAAAGTGACCCAAAGTGTCAGATCTCAGGACCCATTACTACCTCAGTGGATCATCTGTGCCTCCCAGAACTTCTCTTGCTAATGGAATCTTGGTTTCTCAAAACTTTAGTGTCACACTTGGCACCACATGACAGCTTCCTGTCTCTTGATGAAGGCCACTTATCCTTTCTGGTGACAGCTGCTGAATTGTCAAATTATCTGAAATACTCAGCCAAAACTATTATTGGTTTTATGCTAGTATTTGCTCAAAAGATAGCAAGTAATCTCTTTTCCTAAGTGAAAAAATACTCATTTATTTACTCATTCACTATGCAATTATTTAATGCATTAAAAAATTCCCAATGTTCATTACAGAAGATTGAAATAATATCCCTGACCTCAAGAATTATTTCAACTTCATTGTTTACCATGGATAAATAATTAATGGGGAGTAGGGTATTCCAGGCTCTCCAGAGAAGCATGCAATGACATGACCATTTCTCAGGTCATTTTTGAGTGGATCACCCTTGTCTATGACCTCTCTGACCTGGCTGGAGATAAAAGCTGAGGCTGCCTAAAGGTAATGAAGTCAAGTCATTCTATTGAATAAACAAGAGCAATGTGAGTCTTGTACCCAGTAGTCAGTTTCCTGTGAAAAGTCAGCCAGGTGCCATCTTGGGATTTGGATGAAAGAGAAATGAGGATGAACTTCTGGAAGTTGACTTGGAGGAAGGAGGAGCTTGGATTCATTTTAACTTTTGACGGGTGCCTTAGAAGAGTTACTGAAGGTGGTGGAGTTCATGTCATACTACCCATGATCAAGACTCCATGGGGAGGAAAAGGCAATTGTTCTAACAAGAGTACCCTCACTCTTCTTAATAATCTTTCCTAGGAGAGATATTACAGGCCAATTCAGCATTGGCTTATAATATACTCATGCATTAATAATCACACGTGTGAAACTAAATCTCAACTCAGTTTCCACACTTTGCACACAGAATCACCTGAAGACCTTTGAAAAATAACATTGTCTGATCCCACTCTAGATAAAATTTCGATTTAATCATTCTGAGTTATGACTTGGACATTAGAATTGTTAAAATGTCTCCAGATGATTTTGATACACAACTTACTCATTCTATGACTTAAGGAGAAAACTAACGCCTGTGCCTTAAACCAGACCAATTGATTCAGCATCTATGATGTTGTGACCAGGAATTTAGTATTTTATATACTCGCCTCTGAAAATTCAAATGTACAGCCAAGCTAAGAGACAAAGAGCCAAAGGGAAAAGGCCCTAGACTTGATTACAGATAGGGATGCAAGATTCTTGTGCACTGGCTACATTTGTTATTTCCTTGCTCTTCTGGGAAGATGGTTACCAATCTCTGGAGAATGATGATAGCAGTCTGTGAGTGCCTACAGTGAGGAGAAGGAAAATGGCCCCAGGCCTCCATGTTAGACCCAGTCTCAATCTCCATTAAGGATGTGGTTCAGGATTCTCTGGAACACTGAATGGGAGCTGTTGGCCAGATGTTCCTTGAGCTTTGCACTTTCTCATATATGGCCATTTTTAAAGCGAAAGAAATGACCAGAATACTGATTCTCCCCAGATAAGAATTTTCACCCTAAAGCCAGAGTGACTTTTCATCTTTTATTACTTTCTGCATGAAGAGAAACAACATAGCTGTGTTGCACATTACTGTGCCCATTTACTTCAAGATGGACATTTGTGATCTTTGTGTGCTGCTAACAGAGATGCAATACAGACTTTGAGAAACAGAACACTTTTCTCTATGTATTAAGGTGGAACCATTCATTGGGGTCTTAGCATCCCTGTACACAGTGGACCCTACAGAGATGGAACTAACAAAAGAAGCTTAACCACTACTGTGAAAAGGAGTGGGCATAGTAGGATTTGGAATACAAGTGAGAGTATAGACCCAGGATGTATTCTCAGGTTTGTGGTCAAAGGCAAATGTTTTATGAAATGGAAGCACCAGGAAAGAACAGGTAGTGGGTGTGGGGACAGGATAATACATTGTTTAGCCTGGATGAGTTTGGGGTGTGCTTTAAGGGTCCAGGGGGAGATGCTGGGTGAGCATAGGGATGTGCAAAAATGCAGAAGACAGGCTGGACATTTGGAAGCTGGAGACATGGGAATGTAACTGCAGCTTTGAGAGTCATTTGATTATCTGGGGCAATCAAATGGCCAAATATCTAAACCTCAGGGATTCCGTCTAAGTGTTAGAAGAGGAGAGGACAAAAAGGGAAACAGATAGAGCAGTGAGGCTGATTGACTAAACCCAGGAGAGTAATGGCACCAACCCCATGTGCTTGGAGAAAGGAGAAATGGTCCTGGCAGAGAAAAGTGGGCACTGTCATCCCTACCTCTTCCTGCTCCTCAATGGACCACATTCCCTCCACCCAGCACTCATCAATGGGGGGCCAGTCCCCAATTCAGTCTCATTTGTGTCACTGAGATGGTCACAAGAGGGTAGGAATTTCTCCAATAGACAATGGGATACACAGGATGTTTCTATTTATAGAGCAACCCAGAATCTTCTGGGTTCTCTCAGAAGGCAGAACCAGGAAAACAACCAGGAGCAAATATAGTTCCTGACAGTTCCTGATTCATATGTAAATGCTGATTCTCATTTAAAAGAAAGAATAAAGGGGTTTTCTGTTTTAATCACCTTCTTTTCACCCCATTGATGAGGGAAGGCTGTCTACCACACAATTTGGGGGACAGCAAGTAATGACATCTGTCACTGGACAGATGGATTGACAGATGTGTATTAGTCACATATACTCCTAAACCAAGGAAGGAGGGCAGTGCCAGCCATGCAGGCCTCATCAAGGTTGCCCTCAGGAACAGAGGGAGCAACCAGGGGCTGTGGAGGGTGGGTTATCCCCTGGTTTCCCTGGGAGGTTATGGCATGCTTGTTTAAATAATTCCATCACTGACAGGGAACTGAAACCTGTTATTCCAGTCTGAGCAGGGTTACACGTAGCCCCTTGACAAGGAGCATTATTTAGCTGTGGGACCTTATCCAGGAGAGCAGAGTGGAAAGAGGAACTTGCAGATAGGCTGTTCAACGCCTTCTCAATTTTACCAAATGTCACAGCAGCACATAATATTCAACTTTAATATTAATCCTTACACTGCATTTTCTTGATTAGGATAGGGCTCAGGCACAGGCTAGCTATTTCCATGAATACATATGTTTGTATATAACACAGTGTATCTTCATATCTGCTCTATAAATTTGGTTGAGTTCAATGAATAGATGTTATGCCACAGGATTTGGATGGAAATACTGTCAAATTTTATCTTCTTCAAATGAAATTAAACATGGTTAAAGGCCACATATTGAAACTGGTAAGAAATCCAGTATTAGTTGTTTAAGGGAGTCCCTCCCTATTCTGTTTATAAAACAACGCAATTGCCACTTTCTCTGCCCATTCAGTGATGGAGGCTCCACACCTTACATGCCACGCTGAGTCATGGTGCATCTCCCCAGGGTTCTAGTGCCAAAGATCTCTATCCTCCCTGGCACGACCTGGTCATCTGTGCCTGTGGTCTTTCCAATTCAAAGACAATGTCATACATTCAGGGGCCCTTCAGGTATAGAATCCACAGTCAGGAACCCCTACCAAGCCCTTCAACTTATGGGAAGCCTTTAGCCAAGAAAACAGGAATACTGTCTTAGCAGTTTATTCAATCTTATCAATTTCTGAATAAACCACCTTTCCCTGTGTCATTTTAGTCATTTTGGTATAGGGAAATGAATTTTGTTCCAGGACCTTGTTTTATCTGCAAGGTAATACAATGGTTCACAATTCTGTAAAATTCACCCTCTCTTTTGTAGCTGGTCTTTCTGTGTTAGAGACTCTGGTTTTATAGGAAAACCTTTTCTGGTCACATAGGCCACTCCTCCTGAACTTCACCACAGACCAAGAGTTCTTTTTCTGAAACTCCACTCCATGCAGTTGGTTCACAGCTCAGGGAGAAGCACATAACTGTCCATTTGCATTCCTACAAAGGCAATGAGTTCCAGATTCCCACAGCACTGGTCTTCAAAGTCTCACTGGGGATCCAGACATTGTTTTATCTTCTAGCTGAAAAACGCAGCGAAATGCAAGATCTGTGAGGATGAAGGAAAGCTCTTCAACTGCAGTCGTTGTTTCAGCTTCTTTCATGAGGACTGTCACATCCCACCTGTGGATACTAAGAGGTTTGTGAGATGCAGACCCCTCTCCTTCTATGGACCTTCTTCCTGCCATGCACACTCCCAATGCAAAGTCTCTCCTTGTGTCCTGATGGGAAAAGAGCAGGGTCAGAGGTACAGGGTCCAGTAATATGATGCCGGGATCTGTTTAAAGATACTGTCAACAGGAGGGTAATATTCCCTTCTGTCCCCAGGGAGGTTGAGACAGGTGGCTGGATCCTTTCCTACATACCACTACTGACCTTTTCAGAACTTTCCCACCTCGGACTCCTGTTCACAGGAGAGCAAATGCTAGTTGTTTGTGTTCTGTGCTTATTCAGAAAAGGGAGGAAACAAGGACACTTTTCCTCATTTTCCATGTTCTCAACAGGCTAATAGAGGCACAAGGCCCCCAAGGGTTAAAGCCCATTTCTGACACTCAGGTTTGGTGGGCAGGGCTCCTTGTGCTCTCACCAGCTCAGAAAGGTAAGGGAGAGCCCATCACTCACCCAGACACCATCTTCCACCCAATAAACTGCTGCCTCTACTCTAGGGAGCAGGTTTTCATATGAGACTACTGGAGAATCTGGGAGGTGACGCCTCATTCCCTGGTTGTGCCTATCAGCCATTCCTGAAAAGAGGTCAGTGGCAGCCATGGGAACAGAGGTGTTTCTGGGGCTTGCCTTGCTTACTTCCACCTGCATCACAGGATCCGTGAGTGGAGATGTACCTTCTGCACAATAAAAGTATCTTCAAGAAGTCAGCAGTGTTGCAGTGAATCTGAAGTCCTGGAGAGACAAATGGGGCCAGAAGAGAAGTTGGTGAGTTGAATTTGACCCAAGACATCTCCTTTCTGCTCACATGAGAAGTCAAACAGGAATGGGTGAGGGCAAGGGTTTCAAAGGGTTACAGCATGGCATCTAAGCTGCTCTTCTGACCATGCCTCAACCCTCAACCACACTGAAAATTCACCAGTACCTGGTTTCAGAAAGAACAAGAAGAAAAATAACTTAGCTATTATATGTTAGTGTCAATTCCTGTTCGGGGAAACTTCCAGAAGACTACTGTGGTCATGCATCTGTCTGGGCATGCATATGGGCTCATTCTCTCCAAGCTGCTTTTCATTCACAAAATCCCTCTTTTGCAGAAATGTGAATGCCTACTCCTAAACGTCTATTACCATTTAGAGAGCATCATTTTTCCGAATATTCCACATGAACATTATGTGAGTAACAACAACAAACCATGATTAAAAGCCTCTGTAATATTACCCCACCTTGACACGGTCACTGTGGGATCTGTGATATGAAGCCCATGGGAGGGAGAGCATGTGAGCTGTCTTTCTATTTACCTTGAATTTCCACTGGATTTTATGGAATCCACAAAAGACAGACATTCACCTGTGTCAGTAATTCTCCTATTTATATATTCACCTGAAGGTTCAAAAGGCTTCTCAATGCCTAAAGACACTTAAGGGCTTGGATGAAATCAAGAAGAGTTTAACTGAGGGACATTACCTCCAAGTGGAGGAGTTTGTGCTTAAAATAAACAACATCTTTCAGGATCATAAGGTAAGTGGCTATCCCTGCTTCCATTTCATTTTCTACTCATTGAGTCACTCTACCTGCATTTCCTGGTACTGGGAGATTTTAGAGTTTCCCTCATCCTATGACAAGCCTATACAAGCAAGGATTCAGGAAGAGACTGGGTTTTTAAATTAAGGATTTAAGCTCAGAGAGAGCAACAGTGAATAAGGAACTGTCTCTGCAACCAGACTCCAGGCCCCTGAGAGCTCATTCCTCTCCTCATAGGTGACAGGTGACCATTGAGAACAGTGGTGTACTCCCTGTTCCAAACCTAAGGAGAAAATTGCTTCCTAAAATCATGTTATCCTTCTTACCTCTCCGCAAATATACTCAATCAGACCTCTCAGAGGCCCCAAACTGCAGATAGATTTCTTTGCATGTAAATGAACCATATACAGTAACATATCACCAGAGGGGAATAGAATTGACAATGTGAGAGGAAGACCACTGATTGTACATCTGTAATATTTGATTGTTACCTTAGATTACTTTTCTAACTCTCACTGAAACAAACAACCCAAAACCAATGACTGAGGATCCTCTGTATAGTAATGTTTTCCCATTTCTGTCTAGACAACAAGAGTTAATCATGCTCTTAGGAAACAAAAGTTACTCTTAACTGCTTGAGATTTTTGTATTGTTTTGTTTTTGTTGGTTTGTTTTTGCTTGTTTTTAAATATATTTTTATTGATTTCAAAGAGAAAGGGAGAGGGAGAAAGAGAGATAGAAACATCAATGATGAGAGAGCATTATTGATCAGCTGGCTCCCTCACGCCCCACACTGGGGATTGAGCCCACAACCTGGGCATGTGCCCTGACCAGAAATAAATCATGACCTCATGGTTCGTAGGTAGACACTCAACCACAGAGCCACACTGCCTGGGCTTAGCTGCTTGAGTTTTTAAACTTAATCTGTTTAATGTAACTTAAGTGTTTAAAACAAGAGTTCTGATCATTTTCCAATGCACATTGTCTAATGACACTGATATTGTCATTATTTTTGTCTGTGTGTTTTTTCCCCAGCACAATGATTCTGACCTAACAGAAGAGGAATTTAAGAAGAATTTCAAAGACGTCTTTGCTATTCAGTAAACAAATCAGAACAGTTCACTAGTGTAGTGGATGCTGTTGATACCCTGGAAAATCTCACTTTCAGGCAGATTTCTCATCCCTGCTGTTATGTGTATTGATTGCTTATGCCATCTCTCCCCAGTGTATTTCTTTGGGCCAAATGGAGGCATATTCACCTGAAAGTTAAATCTCTTTGTCCTGGGGGCTGGTTCCCAGCACCAAAGATGAACCAACCATGTGGAGTGATTCATGTTCCTGTGCTCCTCAGGGAATCAGCCTAGAGCTAGTCTCCAGCTATGACCACATCTTTGCTTAGCATTTCCCAGCACAGTGTCCTGCTTCCCTTATTCTTCCTCCTCCCAAGAAAATTCTCACAATAAATCACTGACTAAAGAGACTTTGTCTCAGGCTTTGCTTTTAGGGAACCCAACTTCACATTATGGTCTAGGAAGCCAGACCTAAGCATGGAGTTCTGAGCTGGATCACTGTCTAGCCAGCTGGCAACAGGTGGAATACTGATAGTCCCTGAGGTACTAAAACAGTGCAGTTGTAAAATACATTCACCTGTATGAATGAGATATAGGGGAAGAGGCAATTGTCTAACATTTACAAAGAAATAGTAACTATATGAACTGTGTGATTAGATGGCTATTTCTTTTTAAAAAACTATTTTACATATGCTTTTATTAATTTCAGAGGGAGGGGAGGAGAGGAGAGAGAGAAACATCAATGATGAGAGAGAATCATAGATTGGTTGCCTCCTGCAAACCCCCTACTGGGGATTGAGCCTGTAACCCGAGCATATACCCTAAACATGAATTGAACCATGGCTCAACCAGAGCCATACCAGCCTGGCTAGGTGGCTATTTCTAAGCTCATTTAAAGTGTTTAAAAGAGTACATGACAAGCTTATATATTAACTACCACCTGCATCTGGAAGATACACAATATGGAAGGCTTGGTGCAGGCCCTAATTTTAAGAATGACGGACTTCTGCCCACCCTGAGTGTCTCAGTTGGTTGAGCATCCTCCTGTGCAGAGAAAGGTTTGCCTCATGGCACATACCTGGGTTATGTGTTCGGTCCTGGGTCAGGATGAGTATGAAAGGCAACTGAGAGATGTTTCTCTCTGTGTCTCTCTCTCCCGCTTCCTCTGTCTAAGCATGTGCTTGGGTGAGGATTATATATTTTAAAAAAAAGAGGAGAGAACCAAGATGGCAGCATAAGGTTTAAACTTGTGCATGCTGCCCCCCACAACAACATTGAAACTATAACTATAAGACAAAACAGCTATCATCCATAACCATGGGAAAGCTGGCCGAGTGGAAGTTCTACAACTAGAAAAAAAGAAAGAAGCACATTGAGACCGGGTAGGAGGTGCAGAGGCGCTAAGAACAGAGGTACAAAGGCGCACGCGCGAGGCAGGCTGCACCTGGATGCGCCTTTTTTTCAATTGGAAGGAGATACAAGCTCTCGAATGCACTGAGCTCGTTTAAGGCAAGATTCTGGGGTCTCGAATGCACTGTCGTTTAAGGCAAGATTCTGGGGTCTCAGACTCATACGGGGAGAAACTGGACTATATTGCAGCGGTTTGGAAAGTGAGGGTGGCTTTCTCACAGAGCTGCTTGCAGGGATCATTGTTGCTGTGGGGGCGCTGGACTACAGAGATGCGGAGTCGCGGAGACACGGAGACACGGAGTTGCAGAGACACGAGGAGTCGTGGAGACGCTGACGACAGCCATTGCTGTTTGCTCCACCGTGGTGATTCTCTGAGACCCCGCCCCACTCAAATTACATCCCCTCCCAAGCTGTGCTCAGTGGCGCAAAGGAATCACCTCGGCTTTTGCAGCCTAATCTAACTTCAGCTGTGTCAGAGAGCTCCAAAAACTTCCAAATCCCAAACAAAGAGGAGAAACCTGTTGATATCGCTGTAGATCCTGCTGGGTGGACTCATACATTGGCTGACTTGGAGATCCAGGAGCCAGGGTATCCCTGGTCAGATACCAGATTTCAACTCCTCACATCCATAAGGGACACACTCAAGAGGCAGACAGAATCAGCGAGCACCAAAGCCCCACTGAAGCAAGTCCTGCCTCATAAGGGTGTCTCCAGCACAGCAGTTCTTCTTATAGACACAGTGGGTCCTCACAGTCAGACAAAAATGCGAAGACAAAGAAACATGTCACAAATGAAAGAAATGGAGGAAAGCAAACTAATGGAGGACATAGAGTTCAGAACCACAGTTATAAGATTACTCAAGAATCTTCTACAAACCGCCAAGGAACTTAGTGAGACCTTCAAGGATCTTAATGAGAATGCCAAAAAAATGGAAAAGGACCAGTCAGAAATTAAACATACACTGACTGAAATAAAGAATAATATACAGAGATCCAACAGCAGATGAGAGGATCCCAAGAATCAAGTCAAAGATTTGAAATATGAAGAAGCAAAAAACACCCATCCGGAAAAGCAAAACGAAAAAAGAATCCAAAAATATGAAGATAGTGTAAGGAGCCTCTCGGACAACTTCAAACGTACCAACATCCGAATTATCAGGGTGCCAGAAGAAGAGAGAGAGCAAGATACTGAAAGCCTATTAGAAGAAATCATGACAGAAAACTTTCCCTACCTGATGAAAGAAATAGACTTACAAGTCCAGGAAGCGAAGAGAACCCCAAATAAGTGGAATCCAAAGAGGACCACACCAAGACACATCATAATTAAAATACCAAGGGCTAAAGACAAAGAGAGAATCTTAAAAGCAGCAAGAGAAAAACAGTTAGTTACCTACAAGGGAGTACCCATACAACTGTCAGCTGATTTCTCAACAGAAACCATGCAGGCCAGAAAGGAGTGGCAAGAAATATTCAAAGTGATGAATAGCAAGAACCTACAACCAAGATTACTCTACCCAGCAAAGCTATCATTCAGAATTGAAGGTCAGATAAAGAGCTTCACAGATAAG